GGGAGGGAGTGGGGAACAAGAGGAGGTGGCGCCGGCGTGGGGGGGAGGTAACAGGAGGAGGAAAACCATAAAAACAGGAGAGAGAGAGAGAGATAGAGAGGACACCAAAGGTAGGAGGGGGTGGGGTGTATAGGAAAGAAGCGGAGGAGAAATGTACTTCACTCCTATCCCTTCTGAGTGGGAGTCTAGCATGTGCTGTTGAATGTTCTTGTTTCTGCTTCTGCTTCCCTGTTGTGGTTGTTCGTCATTCCCTCTTTGGTTGCATATGTATTTCTGGTTCAATATGAGTAAATCGTATTGTTAGCTTCTTGCGTCAGTGTGGGTCTCTTTGTGTTTGGGTTTGTTCTCATGTGGCTCTCCATGATTCATCTTACACCCTCCTTGCTTTCTCTTTTTTTTTCCCCCCCCCCACTGCTTTGAGACTTTATTTGGGGCTGCTGAACCCTTTTTGTCGCTGCGCAGGATGAAAATGAAGATGAGCATATGCTTCTGTTGCCGGGGCGGCACAGCGGGGGGATGGAGGAGGAGGTGTTGTTGTGCGTTGAACGTCACACTCTGCTAGGGTCAAATGCTGGGACTTTTTGCTTTTTTTTTCTCTTTCTGCATGAGGTGTGCCTGTGTCACGCAGCACCCCTCCAGAGCCAGTCGGTAGGAAGAACGGGTGGGTGCTCGCATCAGCGCCCTTACTGTGCACTGTGGTTGTCCGGACTCACAATGATTGGCCACACAGCCGTGCGGGCGGCGCAGCAGCAGCATGCGCGTCGCCTAGACCGTGCAGCTGTGCGGCGTCTATTCCCGCCGAGCCAAATCGCGCAGTGGCCGTCCGACTATCTCCCTGCAACCGGCGTCGCCCACTTTCTTAGCCCCGACGGCGTGCCGCTGGAGGACGTCATCGACTGTTATCGCGACATCAAGGTGGACAAGCGGCATGAGCTGCAGCGCGACTTCGCCGCGGACTACACCATGTGGTGCCGCGCGACGCTGAGTGACTTCGTGCGGCGCCTGGGTGACCGTGAGCGGCGGCGGCTGCGGCGGTTCACTGCACGCGACCGCACCATGCACGACGCCGAGGTGCGGGCGTTGTTTGACCTCTGCCCCTACGCCCCGCCGCAACCAACAGCAGCAGAAGGAGGAGAAAGGCGCCGGTATGAATTCACACCGTACGCGGCGACACAGGAGCATGCGATGCTCCCAGTCTCGCGCTGCAAGGGGCCCGGCGCAAGGCTGCACTTTACAACCTTCCCGCAGGTCCGCAACGTGCTGCACACCGAATTCGACAGCATGGGGCCCACACGCGCCATCTCGATGCTCAGCGGCGATGATCTCATTCCCACAACGGAGTTTGTGCAAGCGCTGGCCTTCTACCTTCGCCGTCGTGTGGAGGAAATCGCCGCTTCGGAGGAGGCGTTCCGACGCTCCGCCACAGGCCACACCAATAGCAGCAGCAGCAGTGGCGTTGCTGAGTGCACCTCATGCACGTTCTCTACCGAGACACCAGTAGTATCTTTCTTTGGAAACGGAAGGTTGGCGTGGCTGTTAAACAGCAGCGAACTCCTACCGTTCCCGGTGATCCCGGTTCAGCCGCCCGCGTACGCTGCGAGACGTGCTCGGCGGCAGAAGCACTTGCTCGCACACGATGGATTCTTGTCGGAGTTGACAAAGAATGGCGCCATTGCCGACGGTTTCAGCACGGTGTTTCCATGTGAAACCATTAGTGTTGGGGATGCTCTGCGCAAATACCGTCCGTGTGTTGCGTTGGTGGAGCCGCACGTCGATCGTGACTGGTTGTGTGACCAGCGTGGCTTCTACTCCACGCGGGAGGCGCTGCTGCTGGGCCCGGTGGACTCACCGGCGATGGGTTCCTTCGCGTTCCCGCTGCTCACATTTGGCGTCACGCCAGGGCCGACGACGTACTGGACGTACAACGACGCACTGCAGCGCGTGGTCGCCGCGAACCGAATTCAAATGCCGATGGACCCGCCGTACGTCTCACAGGGGTACAAGCGCCGTGCGCTGGATGAGATATCGGCGTACATGCTATCGCCAAACGACTGTCACGCATTTGGTTGTCAATACCGCTGTCTCAGTTTCGTGCGCACGGTATACCCAGTGGTTAAGAGTCAGCCCGAAGAAGCCCCCACTATTGCAGCTGCTGTGTCCGACGCCACACAGCAAGTGTAAACACACACGCCCGGTTTCTTCGAACCGTCGACCAGGTGGGAGATGCCGCCGTGAAGAAGGATGAGTGCAGGGAAATAGCGCAAAGGTTACAGCTATACTGACGTGATTCTGGGCCATTGCTATGGTTTATATATATATATATATATTTGCTGTGGGTGTGGCACCCCCCACCCCAGCCCTTTTTTCTTTTGTTTAATCTCTCTCCATGTCTCTACCTCGTGTTATCCTGGTAGTTTCCGCTAGCAAAACAAGCAAATTCACCACAACAGCAAATAACCGGCCGCACAAACATATACAGGTACGCAATGGCTTCTCCCGATGTTGTCAAGAAACTTGAGGAGGCATTCGCCAAGCTGCAAGGCGCCGCGGAGTGCCACTCGCTCCTTAAGAAGCACCTGACGAAGGAAGTGTTCGAAAAGGTCAAGACGAAGAAGACGAAGATGGGAGCAACGCTGTTGGACGTTATCCAGTCGGGTGTGAAGAACCTGGACTCCGGCGTCGGTGTGTATGCGCCTGACGCGGAGTCGTACACCTTGTTTGCCCCTCTCTTCGACGCGATCATCGAGGACTACCACAAGGGCTTCAAACCGACCGACAAGCAGCCCCCGAAGGACTTCGGCGACCTCAGCACGCTCGTCGATCTTGACCCCGAGAGCAAGTATGTCATC